TTCGGTTGTTCATTTGGTCCCTTTTCAGTGCTAACTTCCCCATTCTCCCCAAGTTTTTGTTTCTCAGTATCTTGGTTATTGAAGATGTTTTAAGCCACCTAAGTAAGCTGTGAGGTGTTAATTCCAGCAAAACCCTCTACTTTTCTAGAGTTTTGTTTGTGAATATCATGAGCAGACTGAGTGATGAAAACCATATTTAATTCTCTAGTGTTTTCAGAAGCTAGTGGGTGAAAATTGATGTAAATTCGAAGGCTTCATGTAATTCCTGAAGGAACACCTGGGAAGACTCCTCCAGCCCTGAATAGCCACACTGATCTTAAACAAATTAGTGGGTTGAGCTACACCTTGAATCCCAGTCATAAGTGAAAGCCCCCCCCCCCCAGGCTCAGGTCCCCAGGATCTCAGCCCAGGACCTCAGCCACCCCAATCACCATGTGGAGGTGATTGATGCAAAGTGTACAAGGCTTTATTATAGTTGTTTAACAAGCTAACCCCACGTTAGCTCGGGTCTTTAATCCACCCACAGTGGCGGATGGCTAGGAAAGACAGCTTGAAGCGTCTACATAGAGATCTTATAGGGCAGCGTAAGGGGAGTGTCTAGGGGTACGCACAGGCTCACGATTGGTGTGCCTCCAGGCTTGGAGGGTTTGCCCTGTGTTGATTGGTCAACTGGTTGTTATGGCCCATAGGCCCTCCCAGGGTGGTTGCTATGCTCTGCACTTCATTGCTGTGCACTTGTCTGTAAAGCACAGCCAGAGCCATAAAGTATAGCACCACCAGCTAACTTCTGCCACGAGGCAGGCATCTGACCTCCTAGTGACCAAGACAAGGTCAGGGCAAGTACGTGTTCGGTTGTTATGGCTGCTGAAATGGGGAGCTGGTCCCTTCATAAGGAACTTGTGAAAATTGCCCAGGGCATAAAAACTGGTGGAAGTACTGCAGTCCCGATCAGGTTGTTTGGACCGGAAGGCTTTCTCAAAGTCACATAGTCTCCCACATCTGTACCAGCAGCCAAGGCCAAAAACCCATTGAGGGTTTGATGTTCAATCCACTTCATAGAGAGCCAATTGACATCACTTAGAGAGGGTCAATCGAGTCCACAAGAAGTGTGCAGCTTTCCCTTGAAGAATGAAATACCACAGTCCTCCTCAAACCTCTTAGGGAACATTGAAGGGGTGAAATCTTGGATTTAGTGGTCTCCATGTTAGAAGGAAGTTAAATGACTCATTGAAGTTGATTAGTAGGACTAACATGGAAGCAACAGCAATGAAAAGAAGATGCCCCAACTCCATGTAAGTGGATCTCATCAGCCCACAGGTGGTATCGGTAAAGTCAGCTTTAGTGTCTGGACTTGCTCAGTCTACCTGAGGCTTTTAGGCCTCTAAACCTTCAGTAATAGGTAGGTCATTGTATGGGAGTACTCTGCAAACAGTGCACAAAACTTTTATTTAAAAAATTTCATTTTTATGTGCATTGGTGTTTTTCCTGCATATATGTCTATGTGAGGGTGTTGGGTCCCCTGGAACTAAAGCTACAGACAGGTGTGAGCTGCTATGTAAGTGCTTGGGAATTGAACCCGGTCCTCTGGAAGAGCAGTCAGTGCTCTTAACAGCTGAGCCTTTTTTCTCCAGCCCTCCACAAAACTCCTAATACCAGGAATTTGGGGGTAAACTGCAAAGCTTTTGAGTAGCACTTTCAGTGAGCTTGTTCCCAGCATGCTGAGGTCAGCATTTTGTGTAGAAGAGGTCTGGGGCTGAGTGAGAGAAAAATACTGTGGTATCAGTTCAGGGCCCTTAGCTCTTAAGAGGCCCTGCCAGCTGTAGAATCTTAAGCCCTGGTATGAATGAAATTGTCGAGTTTTAGTTCCTACCCCTCGTTAGCATCATAAAGCATATCTTGCCAAAGGGGAAAGATGGGCAGGGGTAGCTGTATGGATGAACCTGCTACTGGAGGTTCCCATACCTCTCCTCGAATGGATCCAGGCAACAGGGTGTCATGTTATTGCTGCCTGTCACCTGGAGGTTGCAGGATGGAAAACTGCCATGTAAAAATGAAAGAAACTGAATTAAAGAAACTGAATTATTTCTGACTTTAGAATATGAAAACAGCTTCCCCTCCTAATCCTTGGGAAGCTTCCCAACTGTGCTGTACAACAGAAGACCACAGTGGGCAACCTACCTATGGATACAATCATTTGAAAATGACTTTTCTCATTAATTGCCACAACTCTCGCCCAGCTGGCATGAAGTTCATTTTCCTGGCCTTTGTCAGTCTTCCTTATTAGGAGTCCTCAGGCTAATATTTCAATAAGAACAGATCAATTACATGTGATACCAAAGACACAAGTTGGTCTCCTGTCAAGTGACTCTGTGCTATCCTTGCTTCTGAAGTGTGAGGTACAGCGTTTTCATCTAGGAGAAAAAATAAAGTCCATTTGGCAGTATAACCAACAACCTCTTGGCCATTTCTTGTGGTGAAGATCTCCAATGACTTTATTTGCAAACCAGAGAGCCAGGTCAGTTGGAATGGCCAGCACATCCCTGTGCACATCCCACCTCTAGGCTTTACATAGCCGTACTCAGATATGTATTGTAGAACTTCTCATTAAAGGTAAGATGATAAGTTTTAAGGGACAAGTCCAGCTGGGCCTGGTGGCACTGTCCTGTAATCCCAGCTGCTTAAGAGGCTAAAGCAAGAAAATTACATGTTTAAAACCTACGTGGACTATGGAGTGCATTCAGGCCAGCTTGAGCAAGCTAATGAGACCCTACCTGAAAGTCAAAAATGTAAAAAAGAACTACACTTATAAAGATAGGGAAAGAGTGGGAGAGGGAAGAGAGAGGAGAGAAAGACAGAGAGGGGAGAGGGAAAGAGAGGGAGGGAGAAGGGAATTGAGGGACAGGGTGTGGAGGGAGGAGGAGGAGGAGACAGAGACAGAGAGACAGAGAGACAGAGAGACAGAGAGACTGTCCCTCTTGTGATTCCAGCAGCCTCGCTGATGAGGTTCCTTTACTTTTCCAAACCTCAGGACCTGCTTCCTGGTCCAGCCAGAGCCATCTCTTATATCTCTTCCCTGAGCTTTTCCTGTTCTAGACCTCTTCACATGTTTAATTCTTCTCATAAGCCCTCCTCCTCCTCATCCTCCTCCTCCTCATCCTCTTCCTCCTCATTTAGAACCTAGCTCAAATATGGCAGGAAGAGAATATTTGTCCATTCTTATGAGCAATAATATCTCATTTTAAACCTACCAGTGCATTGAATTATACACTTAGTATAGTGATGAGATTTGGCAGATAATATTTTATACAGGTCTGCTCTTCCAGCCTTCATTTTTCTTTCTTATCGCTTACTTATTATGAATAAATAGTTGTGTGTACTTGCCATTGAGTTTCTCTCCCTTCTGTTAAAAATGAAGTCCACTGAGGTGTGGGGAAAGGCTCACCCACTGTCTTTAGTAAGGTTTCTGCTGCTGTGATAACACCATGACTAAAGCAACGTGGGGAGGAAGGAAGGGGTGTATTTCATCTCAGGTCACACTGGGTCACTGAGGAAGTCAGGGCAGAAACTGATGCAGAAGCCATGATGGAACACTGCTTACTGGCTTGATCCTCATGGCTTTCTCAGCCTGCTTTCTTTTATATCCCAGGTCCACCTACCCAGGGTTACCCACAATGAGCTTGACCTTCCCACATCAGTCAGTCAGTCAGTCAGTCAGTCAGTCAATCAATCAATCAATCAATCAATCAAGAAAATGTCCCACAGACTTGTCTACAGGGAATCTCATGGAGACATTTTCTCAATTAATAATCCATCTTCCCAGATATGTTAAAATTTGTGTCAAATTGGCAAAAACTCACAAGCACACCTATGTTCCTCCCTGTGGTGCTTATGGACATCAAAAGTGCCAAACAGTTACTTGTTGAATAAATGACTAATTAAAAGAAAACACAAAGATTCTAATTTCAGCTCCCCGCCCCCAAGTCATTTCTGACTGTGTCTGTTTTAAATTCCTGCTCAGTATTACCAAGAATTCCTGCTAAGTACTGACTGATGGCCTTGCACTTAGTTATGTTACTATTCTCAAAAACCCTATCACCAACTTTTTAAAAAATACATTATCTGGTGTCATTGGTCATGACCAACCAAATTTGCTGTGTGTTCAACCCATACAAAACCCAGAATATGGACATGTTGTGTGAAGTTCTATAAACTTCCTCAGGCCAGAGATGGGTAAGAATTTATCAGTTTTGCCTGGTATTGCAAATCTACTAGTCAATGGGAATCTTAAATGATTGCACAGATGTCTTATTCAGATGTGGAGAGAAACCAGCAATGTTTACAGCCAGGAGTTTTCTGGATATTCTTTTGTTTTGTTGACTGTTTCCTCTCTCTTCCTATGTTTTCCTTGTAATTAAGCAGTGTACTATGGGTTTTTTTGTTGTTTTGTTTTGTTTTAAGTATTACTAAATGTTCATTCCATAACATAGAAAGGTATTAGGAAGGATAAATGTGCATTTTTGTGGTTTTGACAGTGAAGAATTGGAAACGTGGAAACAGAGTGACAGAGACTGGGTTTGGCAGCACCTTCTGTTTAGACTAAAACACTGTGTTAGTTATGTCAGAGACATGGATGAAAATGCAATACAGCAGTCCTTTGAAATCAATCCTTTGCAGCCACCAAGACGCAGATTTTTTTTTTTTTCTTGCAAGCATCTCAATGTTAGTAGTCCTGGGGACACCTCAGGAATTTTCAGGGCAAGTTCTTTGTTGATATCATCCATAGAAGGAATGTCCCGAGGTGAAACAATACAGAGAGGGCCAAGGCTAGTGACATGCCCTCATGGCTGGAGGCTTCCCATAGCTTGCTGGATCTCTCTGTTTTGCCATTGGGGATTGGTATTCTAGGTCCCCCTGGCAATCCTCAGGCATTTTTGTTACCATTCTAGACCCTGGCCTTGGCCCGTGACTTGAACTCTGGTCTCCTGTCTTGTTCTTTGCAGGTTCCTGTTGATGATGGGTGTGCTCTTCTGCTGCGGAGCTGGTTTCTTCATCCGCCGGCGCATGTATCCACCACCACTCATAGAGGAGCCGACATTCAATGTGTCCTACACCAGGCAGCCACCAAACCCTGCTCCAGGTCAGTTGGCTTCATCCTTTTCTGTCCTCATAAGTCTTATATTCTCTTCAGGCATTTATAATGCCACAGAGTGTGCTAAAAGAAATAAATCAGGCTATTTGGTCATTAAGTTCTAATGACCAACTTTATTGTTTGTGTCTGCTGGTAGCAATGGGACATATTCTGTGCCTGTCACCTCATGTGTTTATATTATTGTTGATGTTCCCCGTGTGAATGATACGTGGTTCATATATGCTTACATGCTTTTTCTTTTTTAAAAAAAAGGTATTTAATTTTTATATATGAACATTGATCCTACCATTCTTAATTCATCTGAAGTGAATATTATGATATTAAATGATAATTTGCTTGGTATTTTATGATTGCTAGTGATATTGTTGGGGTTTTTTGTTTGTTTGTTTTGCAGTTTAAAATACTACTCAGTAAGTATTTAGCATTGTATACCTACTTGAATATTCATAGGGAGTGCATCAGTAGACATCTTTATAGAAGTTACCACTGGCCTTGTAGAGCATATTACTTGAAATTCAAGATCAGAGAGAATTAGCTATTTCTTAGTTCTTACAGGACAAGTTTGCCATAACTGGGGTAGTTGGTGCTTCCCCTCAAGGCACAGGCTGGTACATGGGTTTTGACAGTGCCTCTACCCTGGTCCCCTACCATGGAAGGAACCTTCTGAAAATGGAGCATTATAAAGCCCTAGAAGTCAGAGTAGGCAAGCACTGCTCGTCCTGCTCCTGGACTAAAGCTTTTATGTTTGATGAAGCTGGGGGCCGATGTGTTCACATTGCTCTGCTCCAGTCACAGCTTCTACCTGGAGGCCTGGGGAGGGTATGTTCATTAATTCCACCCAGCCCATTGTGAGTGGTACCATTGCTGGACTGGTGGTCCTGGATTCTGTTAGAAAGCAGGCTGAGCAAGTCATGGGGAGCAAGCCAGTAAGCAGCACCCCTCCATGGCCTCTGCATCAGCTCCTGCCTTCAGGTTCCTGCCCCTTCTTGAGATCCTGTGCTGACTTCCTCTGATGGTGAACTGTGATGTAGAAGAATAAGCTGAAGTTTTCCTCCCCACGTTGCATTAGTCATGGTGTTTCATCACAGCAATAGTAACCCTGACAGTTACTCAAGTTTTCCTCCCCACGTTGCATTAGTCATGGTGTTTCATCACTACAGTAAGTAACCCTGACAGTTACCGACCACAGTAGGGACCAATTGACAACCTCATCTGGTGCTCAGAGCACCAATGATTAAGTACGAGCGTGTACAGAAACTGGGCTGGAGAAAGGGTTGCAGACAAGATTAGTGGAGCAGACTATGTGGAAGTGATGTCTCATCAGCCTCTTTAAAATGCCCATGGAGTTTCAAGTAGCCACTCTTGATCCTAGTGGGTGTAAAAGCCTACATCAGGTGGGACACTAAGTTGTTGTTTTTTTTGTTTTTGTTTTTGTTTTTGTTTTTGTTTTTTGTTTTTTGTTTTTTTTGTACCTATAAAAACACAAAGGCCATTGGTTAACCTGCCTGTGGGAGAATGTTAAGAACTAAGGACAGCTTAGTGTTCTACATCTTAGATCAGGGTTGTCATCATGGGGCTAAGAGGCATAGTGAGGGAAGTGAGGTTTGATACCATCCCATCCATGCTCTAGTGGTACCTGGAAGCATTCAGAAACACAAGTGCCAGACAGGAGGTAGTGGTGCACGCCTTTAATCCCAGCACTCAGGAGGCAGAGGCAGGCGGATCACTGTGAGTTCAAGGCCAGCTTGGTCTACAGAGCAAGTGCCAGGATAGGCTCCAAAGCTGCACAGAGAAACCCTGTCTAGAAAAACCAAAAAAGAAAAAAAGAAGAAGAAGTAAAAGAAAAGAAACACAAGTGCCCTATTTTATTCCCCCACCACTAGTATTGCAGACCCCATTGGAGTTAAAGGATCCCAATTGCAGAAGTCCCTAGGTCTCTACAGTGAGTTGCTAGATATCCCAAATTCCCTTTTTAAGAATGTAAACTAAGTTGAGCTTGGTAGCACACAGAAATATGCCTCGTCAATGCTGAGACCCATATTCATTCCCTGAGGGCAGGAGATGGCAGCTGTTTATATGCTGGTGTGTGAGGGAGCTTACAGTGCTGTTAGGACTAGCCTTCATGTCCAGTATCACTGATGAGGCATGCACTGAAAAGGTGCTGCTGATTGGCCCTGGGAAGGATGTTCTAGCATCATAGTTCTAGGGCTTTTGTGTGGGCTGGTCAGGACTTTGAGGTAATCAGAAGGTACAGGTAAAGTAGCTGTGGATACTGAGGTCCAGAGGTAAAGCTCCTTGTGAAACTGGGGGACCAAAATGTTTTTAATTGAAAGTTATTGGGAATGCACAACAGAAGACAAGACAGCACCATTGATTAGTTGAAGTTCTGAGAATAAAAATGATGCTGAATGGGATATAGAAGACTGAGACATGGGATGAGTCACTGTCCCCTTTGAGCATCGCTACCTTGCCTGAAAAATGAAGTTATGCGAAGGAAAGAAGCCCATGTTTTCATCTCTGTGCACAGAAGAAAAGGAAAGTCTGGCCTCGTCACATCCCACAGTCCCCAAATCTTGTTGCTGGCTGGGCTGCCATCCTTATGGCCTCAAGGCAGGAAAGAAAGACCAGCTTCATCCAGTCATTTCCTTACTCAGAAAACATTAGCTAACCAGCTCCAGCTCCTGTGCCCCCACCCCTTAGAAACACAAAGAGCCAATGGAAGAAATTCTAAAAGCTTGGGCCATGGTTGAGGAATATATCTGAAGGTAAAGGAGCTTGGGTTCAGAAAGACCAGAGATAGACATGTTCCCCATGGACCTTAGTGAACTAGTAACTGGATGTGAGGAGAAAGTCTAGGTCATAAAAATCAAAGATAAACTGTGACCTGTCTTTGTGGAATATTGTATAGTGACACTAAAGTCCACAGTCAGGATCATGGCAACATGGTTTATGAGGCTAGGAATATGTCTCAGTTAGTTGAGTGCTTGCTTAACTAATATTCACAAGGCCCAGGACTTTGTCCCCAGCACCACATAACACCAGGCATGGTGGCTTCTGGATGTCATTCTACTACTGAGGAGGTAGATGCAGAACGATCACAAGTTTCAGGCAGTATTGACTACATAGCGAGTTTGAGGTTCGATATCATATAAATATATATATGATGCTGTGCATATTATTACGACTACTACAAATAATAATAATGTAATTGTCTGAGAAAACAATAGTCTAAAGAAGCCTTTAGTAAAGAGGGAAGTGGGCACATCTTCTGTAGGATGGCTCTGCCACTAATGGCGAGAATAGTCATACATAAAATGTGTTGATGATATTGCTATGCCTTCTGTTTGCACACTAGTACAGATGATAGTACCTTACAGCTGAAGACACCACATACCTTGGTCACAAGAGAAAGCTAGGCAAGAATTGAACTGGAAGCTGGCTAGCTTTTCGCAGTGTTGGAAGGTGCTATGCAGGCTTTTGTGAGAGATAGATATCAATGGTCTTAGTTGTGACCCATAGTCTCAGCCTGTCAGGCAAGAGGTACCCAGTGCTACAGGAATGGCACACTTGTTAACAGCCGACCACACTTCACAGGAGAGAATACATGCCTCTTACTGTAAACCCAGTCAAAAACCCCTGGCTAGGAAAATTTTTCTAGACTTTAGAGAGGATCTCACTATTATTGCTTAACTAAATTGAGAAGACACCAACCTGTGGTGTCAATATTTATCTTTATACCTATATACAAATATTACTCTCATCATTATAAAGAGAAGCTTCTCTTTGCACTGAAAAATAGTGAATACAGAGACTCTCGACAGCCAAGTGTGCTTAGATTAAATTTAGATGATGGTCAAATGCTCAGCCATAAAAAAGGGTATACATAATACCTCCTCTAAGACTCGGGGCATTGCGGAAGGGAAGAGGACAGATGGACAGTCAGAGGACAGGGAGAAGAGGTGAAATGCTATATTCAGGGCATGGTGCAGCCACGCTGCATCTTCTTGCCATGGCAGCTGTCGCTGCCTGCATTGGGCCCAAATAAGACTACCCCTGTAAACAGCCAGTCATGGATTGGAGGAGGCTCATGGGAGGACCCTACCCCTTGCCAAACTCTTGGAAACTGATAGATTCTGGGGGAGGGACAGCTATTGCCTTCAGTTGTGTGTGGAAGGGTGAATCTAGGAGTTTCCAACACAGAGTTCAGTATCTGTGGCCACAGATAGTCCTACTTAAAATGAATGGATTGCAAAACAAAACAAAATGGTATGAATATGGGGACCTGTCGGGAGGAAGGACAGCAAAAGTGATAGAAGGGGACTTAAGAGAGGCCTAAGTGAGAGTAAGCAATACACCGTACACAAGTGGGA